AAACAAAAGCACGAGAGAACAGGTGCATGATCCTCTTATAATGAATGAAATTCTTGGTTGTTAATCTGAACCAGGTAATTTTTTTGTGCTTTGCTGATGTCTTTAGAGTATGTGGTTTTGCTGTGTGTTGTGGTGTCAACGGAATACATAATGTGAGTGTTTGTATGTGGTATGGTTTCGGATTTACGTAGTTGGTGACTGAAATGGTGTCAATGCGGTGATGTCAGATTAAATGAACAAGCTTTTCGTCAAATTACGTCACATAATAATGAAGCATAAAGTAATTTTGTTAATGAGGGAGATTAGGAAACTTACCTCTGGAAAACTAAATATATGTATCCTAACAGAATGCAAGAGCAACATCAGTACTGTTTCTTGCTATGCAGTACTCTTGTAGCGTTTTCAAGTAGATCTGTGATCTATTTCTAACATTCATCTATCGAAGGAGGGAATGGACATTACAGTATAATCCATGTAGTTGAAAGATTGTATATATGGTATTGTAACATTCTGTGAATTTTGTATTGTAGCATAATATAGATTGATCAGAAATATGTGTTTGCTAATTACTTTATTGGCAAATCATACAGAAACTCTTCCACTATATTTTTTCAAAGTTGAAAGAAAACATTCTGATCTGGAATTTAAAGAACTAGAGTAGGTGAGATCCCGACAAGGCTAATCAGGTTTGTCAACAAATTGCTGCATGGTCAGTGCATCAGTGGGCTAGAACCAGTGGTGGACAGGGATTTTACGTTGTCAGAAACTGAAGCAAAGATACTGATTTGGCTTAACTCTTTATACTTATGCTTGTTAGGTTCACTTTTGTTTTCGTTTCTTAATTGTGTTTACACAGAGATGGCTCCACAAGTGCTAAGTCATCAAGGAGCTAATTACTAGTCCTACATACCTCACCGTTTTCAATTTTTTAATTTATTTATTTTTTATTGCAATAGTATATTTGATGATATTATAGTAATTATAGTGTCAGTAATGATATTGATAGTATTACAAAAGGAAACATTTTCTCCAGGCAAGATTTACTTTCTGGACATTTTGCCTAAATTCTGATTTACCCAAACTTGAGTCAACTCAAGTTTTTAAGGAGTTTTTTATATAGTTGTTTCTCAAGATATATTTCAGGGTTAAAGGACTGCTACAGAATTTGAGTTTATTATAGATAATGGAGGGGGAATACTGTAAACAAATGTCTCACTAAAATGCACCTACAATTAGAGATTAATCTGTCGGAATGTGGAGGTGAATCTGTATAGGGTTCAATTGTCAAGCTTTGAATCTCCTGTTTTACAATATACCCTAATCTTGTATCTGTGGCACTCTCAAAGAATATTGTCTTTGAATCATTTTTAGATTGTCATGTTCGTTCACGCCATTCAGAAATAGTATCTGTAAACATTATTATTCTCACTTTTATTTCTGTACTGATGATGGCAGTGCATGTTACAATGAACTGTAATCAAATGACTGTATAATCGTGGATGATATTTTTATTGAAATAACTTTGAACCTATTTTATGACTGTCATTATATTCCACGAGTGGTAGGATGATACCCTGATTACCAAAATTTTATAAATAGATTATCATAATTTCTTCTCAAGCACCACACAAATCTACAATCTAAGAATAATACCTATGCCTTTCCTTTATGCCAATCTTTTTCCTTTTTTTCAGGTAGTGCAAGATATCATGAAGAGGTAGAATGAATTTGCCAGCAAAGCGCCGCGGCCTTTCACCCGAGGGACGTCAGATCAGAGAGCGACATCAGGGATCACTCACGATTGGGCTGCAGGGCATCACGGTACATCCAACAGAGCGCAGTAGGTTTTTTTCTGATCTTTTATTGTCACTGTTGTAATAACTGTTTTAATTTGTATTATTTCATTATTGTTGTCATTCATATTATTGCATGATTGTTATGGTTGTGATTGTTATGGTAATCATTATGTGTATTATGATGATAATGTGTATATGATGATAATTATTGTTATTTTTATTATTACTTTTAATGTTTTTGTTGTTGCTGTAGTTGTTATTATTGTTGTAGGTATTATTGTTATTGTTGTTATTATTATTATTATTATTATTATTATTATTATTATTATTATTATTATTATTATTTTTGTAGCTGTTATCCTTTTTTTTCAAATAATTTTATTTTTATTGTTATTTCTGTAATCTATTATTATTATGGAAAATCTATGAAGATCATATTATTCCATATATTGTATATGAGTCTAATCCTTCAAATAATCCATAACACTAAATGTCATCTTGGCATTCACTGTACTTCATAAACAGGTCGGAACCAACGTGATTTCTTACAAGACAATGTAAGACGGCTGCATGAGATACAAGCTAGGTGTAGGGATAGAGAAAATAGCAGAAAACCACAGCCTCTAAGGGCGACAAGAGAGAGTTCAGCAAGCACTACTTCTTCACTAAAACAGGTAAAAGAAACTTTGGAAAATTCTTTCTTTTACACACTAGTACTGATACATGATTTATGATTATAGATGACTATATTTTTAATGACTTTATGGTTATCCTTAGCTTGTTTGTAAGGCTAATCATTTGATGTTTCATTTTGTGTATTTTCCAAAAAAGAAAAGCATGCTAATTAAACTAAGGTAGCCAAATGTGATTGCTGCAACACATCTGACAAATAACTTTCCCTTTATAGCAGGTGGACTGCTTAGCGCCAATCCGCAATGGTTCAGCAAAGCTTGGAAGACGAAGCCCAAGTTCAGAGTGCGAGGGAAGTGCGCACTCAGACTACTTCTCACTAACTGATGACCAGATTGAGACTGCGGCAGCACAGCTCAGTGCCCGTCTCCACAATGGGGTGCATCTACCAGACCAAAGTGAGAAGGGAGATGGGAGACATATGCAGGAAAATGGTTTTGGGCATCAGAGCAGAAGTTCAAGTGCTCTGTCCCAGTCGCTTCCAATGCCCACCAACAATTCACTACTGAGGGATGCCCCACCAAGACTGGCAAGGTCAGGGAGTCCTGTGATGCTAAGGCCCATCTCATCATCTCGACACGCCCCTGTGTCCCCACGCCCTGTCAGTGCAGCCCATCGCCAGAATTCTGGGGCTGGGTTGGAACTCCTCTCGGGATGTGAGTTGAACCATGGAATGAGGAGGATGCGGATGGATAATTTGCTCTCTAAGATAAGGAACCAAAAGCCAGCATGTGAGCTGGACTACAATACACATTACAGAAATATAGAAAATCAGCACAAATTATTACTAGATAACTCAGACATGCTTAGTCTTTATGGCTATGGTGAGGGAAGTAATGGCACAGACACACAAAGATCTGCAACAAGAACAGCCTTAAACACTGCAGGAAGTGGTTCCAAAACATCAAAGTTGGTTCGTGCTCGTAGTTTTGATAGAGATGCCCTTTCCAGGAAAAGTGCAGTAGGGGGACAAAGAGAAAAGTCAGCAAAATCTTCCACAAAGTCAGATCAAAGGGCAATCAGCTCACCATCTCCACAACTGAAGAAACGCTTCTCAAAATCCATTGGTAATCTGTCCCATGCTGCCCCATCCTCAGCTTCAGGGCAGAGTAGTCAGAGTCGTAGTGGCAGTCCGAGCAAAATGAGAAGTGAATCTGGTAATTACAGTGTCAAGCAGTCAGAACAGACTCCACCAAGCCGTGTTTTGTCAAGTGTTCAAAGCATTCAGAGAAGCAAGAGCAACTTAGAGTCACCTAGAACATTTGAAGCTTCCATTGATGGTGCAAGTGAAGTGCCACCATTAGATAATAGTTCAGACCTTGTTAGCCAGTACTTAGAAAATGAATCAAGAATTAAGTCTGCAGCCACAAGTGCATTACTCAACAGAACTGCTTCAAGTGGTGAGCTGAACCTCAATTCAACCATGACATCAGACTGCAACTTCAACATTAGTGAACCAGATCAGTCAGTGTCTTGCAATTCTGCAATGGAGAATCTCCACCTGGACTTACGACCTGATAGCCAAGTCGATGGTGATATGAGGATACAAAACAACAACCCAAGTAGTCAGATGGAAGAGTCTACCTATGAATACCATCCAGAGGTCTATATGAAGCCTTACAATGACATAGTTGAGAATGAACATGTGAGTGAAGCTGTGTTTCCACCAGAGGAAGCCAAATCTTCCACGCCAGTGCCAAATGAGCCCCAAGATTTGCCTAGTGTTAGTTCTATACCGAAGCTTCTGAAGGTGAGTAATTGGCACATATATGCCTGTGAGCCATTATATGCTTAATTGCTAGTTTGGTTTTATTGTGATGATTACTTTCCTATACTTTGCAGACATATTCATATAGTTGTTATAGTGAATATCGGAATAAACCTTGTTTAACCTTTACACTAGCAGAAAAGAGAGCAGCATGGTCAGCCATCAAGTCCATCAACTTTACGAAGATCTCAGTCCATGAAGAACATTCGCCAGCGCCAGGGAGAGCCTCCCTCAAGTTACAAGAGAGGGAAATTGCCCAAGTAAATTTTCTGATGTTTTGTTTTATTCATACTACTTGATTGTATTTAGAGTGCAATTTCAAGCATTTTCTTCTGAGGTCTCAACTTTTTCATTACCTTGTTTGCAAGAGAATCATGAATATCAGTCTTATTCTTGATAGCATTTTCCTGGTTTTTGCCATATCATATCTATTTCCCCTTCATTATTATTCTCACTATTTTTCCTATTTTCCTTTTCCCCTTCATTTCTACATAACAACACACCTAGTGAGAGAATTATGGAAATCAAAGATGAAACACATTATGAAGTACTCACTCCCAAACATTTCTTCTGCAGATATCTCTTGGCCCGGAAAGAGGAGGAGAAGAGGTTAGCAGAGATTGCCCGGTCGGTTGACCCTGAGTGTCCGCCTGGCCATGCTCCACTTCCTGACCACGAGCGCCGCAACACCCTCCATCTCCTACGCAAGAGTGAGTTGGTTCCTTGTTTCAGTATTAATTGCAAATTTTAAGAATTGTGAAGAGTTTTGTGTTGATTTCTTGGAGGAAAGTGTTGTTTTATAATCCTTTGACAGAGTTCATTATCTTTAATCCTGTATAGATGATTTCCTTCAGTATACTTTTGATGATGAATGTTAGCATTTTAAGAACATTAGATCCCTTATGCAGTATTGAATTCTAACAGTACAGAATTCTGGATGTTTGAGGGTTAACTGTTTGATGAAGAAGGCTATTCTAACTGATAATTCTCTTTTCAAGGTCAAGCAGAGGTTATGCGAGAGCTCTCCTCCTTGCCTGTGGCCCAAGACACACTTAGGGTGAAGAAAAGGAGACAAGATCTAGAAGATAAACTTATGCAGATTGAAGATGGTCTGCGCATCTTTTCACAGCCGAAAGTGTATGTTATGAATGATGATTGAGAAGCAGAGAAAAGGATGTGTGTATTATAATAACATGAGTGAGTTTGTCTTAGCCAAGAAGCATAGAGTGGGTATCAACTGAGTAAAAGTGTGCAAGCTTAGGAGTAATGTTTTCCTGCCAAGCTGTGTCTTTTGATTCACACTATTCAGGTACATTAAGTGTCTTGGTAATAATCTGTCTGGATATTTTGAATACAGGATTTGTAATGTGTCCATCATCCTTTTTATTAATGTGTCATCATTAATGTAACATCATCCACCCCTTTTATTTATACATAGTCAGCAATTATGATTTTATCATGAGGATGAGATAGTGATCTGTTCTATTCAGTTATTGTTTGAGCAGTATTAAAAAGGATATTTGAATGACTAATAAAAAAAAGTATGAAAGTTTTCTATTGATCCTGTCCTTTTTAAAAGACATGGACTTTAAATATTTTTTTGTAAAAGAGGAAAAATAAATTTCCAGTTTTGTCATATTGAATAGGTGAAGGGTCACAGGTTAAAGGGGTTATCATGTATATATGCCTTTTGTATGAAGGAAGTGGTTGCTTAACTACTGATGTGCCATAATTTCCTTGAGGAAGTGGCATTTTCATTGGATTAAAAGAAAAATCTGAAAAAAATACATGTTAATTCATTGACAGTGTGAGAGCATGTGTCCATGTACTGTAGTTTTGTTTTACTTGTTTTGTTTGCATATAGATGGCTTCAGAAGTGCACTGCCACCAAGAAATATAAGTTTTCTGATAATTTGAAGGAACAAGACAAAAATATGTGATTAGATAGGCCTTCATCTTGACTTAAGTGCTTGTGAAGCAATATATATGTAAACAAAATGAGATATGTACTCATTGTCAACAGTTAAAGGTCTTATGCCATTCATGGTATATACCTCTAAGAAAACTTCAAAGACTAATTCTGCCCAAAATTATATATATTGTTGATTTCATATAATATTTCATATAGAAGAGATGAAGTTATTGTACTTTCTGTTTCTTGTGGTACAGGTCAAGCACTTCTAAATTCACATATACCCTAGAAACAACCCAAAAGTATGTGTGAAGAAAGGAAATTGTGAGAAAATGGGATTTAGATTTGCTGTAACAGTTCATTGAAAATCAGTCATTGTGTGCTATTACTGAGTACTCTCTGCATTTCAGTAGCCAATCTATGCATGCCCAAGATATAAGCAATTCAGTTTTGCATCTCGTTCTCTAGCTAGAATACCTACTCACTTGATGACTGCCGTGGCCCTCAGCCATGCATGCTGCCCCTAGAACTTAGTGGTCATTTTAGCACCAAGAGTGGATATATCATGAAAGGGAGATCAAGATGCACAATGAAATCAGCTTAACTAATGAAACAAGCTTTTTCACTAAACATTGAACAATGCAGAAGCAACTTTTGAAAAAAAATTAAGGTGTTGGTTACCACTTAGTTCTCCTCAGTATTAAAATAATTATAAATTCAGTAAATGAAAAAAAAAGACAAAAATTTCTAGAAAGAAATTAAAATGATCCTAATTGGCTGTGAACATTAGGTTATGATTTACCAAAGTTAGTAAACTTAATAAGTAACAGGAGGAAAAGGTAAGAAAAGTTGCTCATTCCAAGCCTGGAAGGGGTGCTACTCATATTTATTAATTTTGTTGTTACAGCTTTGTAGTCTGAGGGAGGAAGCTTACTGCTTTTATGTATAAACAGAAGGTCCTTCTCACCGTCATTATATGATTTTATGGCAGTGTTTCCTTTTTCATTGTCATTTTTTTCTAATATCTATTTTTTTAAATATATTATTTGGGTATTAACAAGCCTTGTATACCTGTGAATGTCATTGAGTTTTATGTGGAAAACTTGTGAAAGGAGAAAGAATATTTTAACTTTTAGGAGAAGTCAGTAAAAGATGGTTTCTTTTACAAGTTTAGTTTATTATGCATTTATTTTCTAAATCATTGTGATCAAGAAGAAATCAACCACAATGGAGAGCAACAGTCAGATTCACAGTAAATGTAGGTAGCATTTTCATCCAACATGTTTCCATGATGTATTAAAGGTACACATTTCTGGATAAAGTGAATGTATTTTTTGCTTAACCTCTTATTATAAAGTGTTAGGTCTGCATAAGCCTTTTGTATATTACTTAGTTATAGAATTACATCTATGCAACATTTTCATAAAAGATGCATTATTTTGTTTCAGAACAAGGGAAAGTAAGCATTAAGTTATGGTTTTAATTTAGTAATGAAAAATAGTAAAAAAGATAAATGGGAGCAGTAAATAACCTGTATATAATAATTTGTATGATATACTCTGCCAAAATTTATAAGTATTTTATAAATTGTTTTACCTGATACATAGTCTGCTGCATGGCAGGTAAAGTTAATTTTAACCCTTTCATGGAGAGCTGCCTCTGCTATATTGGATATATTACTAAGCATATAACTGGGAACATTAATTAGAAATAAGAACTAATTTTCAAAGGACAGATCATATTGAACCCATTTCTAAAACTTTCAGTGTATATTACTTTTTTCCCTATTTTATGTTTATTTTAACAAACATTTGATAGCACTTTTGCATGCAACCCATGGCAGGGTTAAGAGTATTATGGGAACAATTATCATTTAAGTCCTGTAAAGTGCCAGAGCTGAGGAATTTCACCTAGTGTTGTGGTATGAGAGTTCCAGAGAAGCTGTAAAGGAGGTTTTGTAGAAAACTAGAGTTAATTTTGTTAACAGGCTTATTTTTATGGAAATATGTTAGGCCATATTTTCTTGGAGGATCTTCAGGTAAAAAGCCATTTTGTGACTTTTATTGTTTTTTAATTTTTGAAAGTGTGCTCCACTGTGTTACAACTGGATGTAAAGATAATAGTGACTTTTCACTGCAAGGTGTTTTAATATGGAGAGAGAGGGTGTTATGTTTTGAGAGAGAAGTAAATAAATGATATATGATATTGGTACTCAGTGTATTATTTATAGTAATATTTAGGTAATGAAAAAAAAATGCTTCTAAATTTCTAGTATGAACATAATATCAATCTATAGATTATTATTTTTTCCTAATACAGTAAGACACATATGCAGTTGATGTGCTTACTTATGAAAATATCATTTATAGCAAAAGACATCCAAATTATGTACAGAAATAAGTATAAGTAAGTACAAAGTGAAAAGAAGAGTAGAAAAGAGAGAGAATCTCAAATATTGTTACTGTCAGAACCGAAAGTAGTGTCATTTTCAGGTGAGTATTTTCGCATTCAAAAATGATTGTGCTGGTCAAAAGCCTTTTTATACTTTTTCTAAAGTCAATATTAATATCTTTGTGTGGATAGACAGTTTGATTTATCATGGTCATCTATAAGAAATAGTAATAGCAAAAGTGAGTCATACGCATTTTAATTACCAAAAAAAAAATCTGATAGACAATGATAATGCAGCTGTAGTGTTAGCAGTATTAATAGTTTTAGTAACAGTAGTGGTAACAGTAGTGGTATGTTATTAATGATACTGACTGTAACAGTAGCATTAGTACTACCATTTATAAAGGTGTTAACATCATCTGTAGTAATAGTATTATTGTTGTAATGGTGAATTTAACAATAGCATTAACACAAGCAACAGTGTTAGATATAATGTATATGTTATAGTGGAATTAGAAACAGCTATTAATGAACTAGCAACAAAAGCAATAATTTTTGTGATAATTAATTGTGAGGACATTAAGAATTGTGTTTAAAATAATTTACCTACTTGTAGATATTGTAGTCTTTAAATATCATAAATTTGATACAATGTTACAGAGAATTAATACTAATTTCTTGTTACTTCTATAATTGATATCATGATTTAGGATTCAGCATTGTATCATTCATAACAATTAGCATTTGAAAATGAGAGAAAATGGCATTGAGAGTTGCATGTTAAATATAAACAAACTTCCTCTATTATTTCTCATGTTATTATCAGGACTTTAAATAGTTTTCTCATATGGTCAGCATTTAAAAAATGTAATTTTTATCAAGACATAAGTCAGTTGGAATCTTCAAAAGAATGCAACCAATTTTTAAGTAATGCGTGTAAAAAGTAGATGAAGGTTTAACAGTGTATACATGAGTGAGCAAATAATTGCAGTTGTAAAATGTAATACCATTTTTATGTAGCTTAAGTTAGTACAATATATACAGAAATAAAAAGAAAATTAAAACTGGTAAAATAAATGCTGTAATCAAAAGACCAGATGATACTGGTGAATATAATATAGGTAACTGAATTTTTTTTTGTATATATGAATAGTTAAGTCATATTAAGGGTCCAATATGCTTATATAATAACATTACAAGCAACTGTACTCAAGATCTTATTGATTTTAGATTTTAGAAATTATTTCATAATACCTGAATTTTTTATTCAATGTATTTCTTAAGAAGTTATGTATGACTAGATCAATATTTTTTACTGATACTGAAGGGCAGTCCATAAAATTAGTGTTGGAGTAAAGTAATTCCAATATAAAAAAAATATTTTTTAATGGAATACCCTTATATATGTTTTGTGATGCAAGTACTACTCTTCTGAAAATGGCT